TGGCTCGGCAGCAAACCAATTGTACTTGGTTACAGAGGAAAGAGTTGGATTTTCACTGTTTGGAGCTAGGCTTGAAAGCATGGGAGGTTTTGTATACATTTTCATGCTTCTGTGTTGACAAATGAAGACCAGGGTTACTCAACAGGAAGTCTAATTTTCTGGTAGCTGTCACTGGCTCTACTATCACTACGACATGTGAAAATATATTTCATAATAGGTATATGTGTGATTCACAGTTCTTTTAGTTTGGCTAGCTGACTTCATGCCAGAGAAATACTGCAGAATGTGCAAGTTATTGGTGTGGTTTTTTTGTTTAGGGTTTTGGGGTTGGCTCTTTTTTTTGGCTAGAAGTAGTATTTAGTGTTAGCATGCCTGGATACCTCCCTGAGGATTAATTTATCAAACACTAAATAAAACATGTCTTCTGACTCTTTTCTTTTTCCTAATGTTTATTTTCCATGCCAATAGAGAGGTTGCATTTTTAAATGGAAAGTGGAGGGAAAGCAAAAAAAAGACTTAATAGAAGAAGAAAGATGCTGAAGAAATGAGGGATGAGGAGCCAGTCTATTGTGCACCAATCTATCACTTTCTCTTGGGAGAATAAGGAAATGACTTGTCTATAAAATTCTCATTAGACTAAAATAAGCATAAGTTTCTTCTGGACTCTAATTGGGCAATGTCAAATTGAGTAATAAAGGGTTGTTTTTTAATGAACTCCTGAGGACACTAGCACAGCTTTAGCACTACTAAACTGTCTCTTACAGTCAATTTCTCTATCTTCATGGTACTGTTATATGGGTGGGTATCTGGGGAAGAAGAAAAAAGGGTCATTTATCAGAGTTGTACAATTTGGAAAGACAAATGTCTTCCTGATCATCAGCTTGTCCACATGCCAATAGAAAAATCTGCTATAATTAATCTCTTTTGTTATTCTAGTCCAGTTCTTTGTGAGGATGCTTGTTTTAGGATGAAATTGTTCTTTCAAATTGGCCAAGGGTTGGTTTATTATATTTAAAACAAAGGTGCCCAAGTATAGCATGCAAAATGTTAAAACAAAGTAGCTAAATAATTATATTAGAAGTTATTTTACTGCTTTAGCATCATGCTTTTTTTGTGCCAGAAGAACTAAATCTGGAGGATCATTTTGCCTTTAAGAGGTGACTAGAAGGTAATTAGCATTAGTTTCCACTGCATATGCAACAATTGACCAACTTCAAAGTATTTAGTGGTTTGGTTAGATTCAGATAAGCAACTTTAGGCTTGCATGTTTATCCAGGACTTATCTGAACTATTTGGGCTGAAGGAGGTAATGGCAACAAAACCTACAACTAACTGAAAGTTAATATTTTACATTAATAAAACACTAGTTATTTTTAAAGAAAGGAGCAGGAAAGACTGAAAAATTAGAACACACTCCTTGACTGATATTAATCACTTCAGCATTTTTAAAATTGATGTAGACCACTAATATTTAACTTCCTCCCATATGTGGAATCCTAAGGGTTTTCCTTAAGGGATATATGAGTCAGGATCAAATTTACTTATTAATGTCAAATCTTTCACATACTCTTTAGAGTGTTCTCAGCCTTTTTGGGTTCCTTCTCTTGAAAACTTCCTCTATAACACTTTCAAATTTTTCTTTTAAGTAGGTATTTAGGTAGAAATAAGTAGATAGCATTTAAGTGATATTCCTAAGCTCTGATCTTTCTTGATTTATTATCTTTTCTTGCTCTTCCTTTGAATGGTGGAGGGAGAAAGTAAGTTAATGTAATAATATTTCCAAAGGGCTTTTTGGGAAAAAAAAAAAAAAGCTTTAAAAGGTTTTTAGGAATTTCAAGATTCTGTTGAGGAAACTGACATCAGGGACTGCTGATGCCTTTGCAAACAAAATATTCAGTGACTTCTAGTTACTAGGCCAAATATGGTGGATCTTTAACCATGGATGAGCCAGAATGGCTTGACTGAGTTGGCACATAGAATGCAGCAGGTTTCACTCAGATGACTTTAGGCGAGGCCCAGAAATTTCCATGCTATGAGTAGAGGGACTAGGAAAGTCTGGCTATATGTTTGCAGGTGTCAGCTGAGAGATTTGTACATTGAAAGTGAGGTTCAGAAAAGCTAGCTGGTATGTGGGCTTTGTTTCTTTTTCCTTTTGAAGAGTGAGTAGTGGGTGTAGCTCTGGGGCGTCCAAAGGGCAGTGTCAGGGCACACCTGTGGCCAGAGACAGCTTAAAGCGTCACCCAGAGATTGTAAACCACTCCTTTCTTACCCTTTTCAGTTTTGCCTTTCAGCCTTCCCCCATCTCTCCCCCAGGCTGCTTTTTATACTGGATAACTCTCCCCTTCTTTCATGCTGCTCCTTCTGCTGAAATCCAGCTCCTGCCACGGCTCACACTGGTGTTGGATGGGAGCTGCCCTGACTCCCACATTCAACCCGCTGGCCCACACCAAAGCTCGAGAGCAGTCTTAGTACCTCCAGTGCTTCTGCAGTCGTTTCCATTCTGGTTCCCAATTTTAAACTTCCCTTTGGGTGCCTGCAGACTCTCCTTGCTATGGTTGCTTCTGGTGTGCCATGCCCTTGCTGCTTTCCACAGGGACAATGGCTGGTGCTGCAGGGCAGAGGGTTTTGCAGCACAGCTTGGATATGCAAGAGCAGTGCTGACTACAGGAGTAGTCAACACTGCTTTGTCGACCAGACTAATCCTTGAGCTGAAAATTTCAGTTTAATATGCACATCTGTACATGCAGATTAGCCCAGGGTCATTAGCTTTCTTTTAGAAGAAACATTTTACATTAAAGAACATAATTGCTGAGCAAATATGTAAGGTATTTTGCAGTTACTGTTTTCCAACCTAGCCCTTGATTCTTAATTCTGCTGAAATATACACACAGATATTTAACAACGCAGCTCATTCCATGTTGAGTGTCCTGCACACTTGTAAACTCTTTCTCAGACTGGGACCAGTATGACCAGAGCTTCAGCAGCTTGGGGACGTTAAACACACTGAATGGGCTCTGCATTCATCAGGGTTTTCAGTGAGCAGTAACTGAGACTGTGTTGCAAGATTAATTTAGTATTTTTCAGAATGGAACTTCAAAATTCTCAAGAGGAGTATAGGGCTGCACACTCTTCTCTTGATGTGTTGACCTGCAGGTATGAGAGGTCAGAGAACTGTATTTAATGCACTGAGAATCTGAATATTTCTTTATTATTCAAAATAATTTCATGGGGGCTTTTCTACGTAAGATTAGGAGACTCAGATGTATACTTTGTGCCTTTCAATGTTTGTCAAAGATTAAATTATCAGAGCCAACTTTGAGACTATTGATCATCTCTTTTCAAAATACACCTCTTTCAGCTTAGTTAAGTGAAATGGCCACAGCATCTACAAATTTTCTCCATGTTTCTCTGTATTTATCCTGGAAAAATAATTTCTGATTACTGAAAATAATGACTGTTGTTTAGGAACTGAAATGGAGGCAATTAACACATTTGCAAATGAACTTTATATATCATGATTCCTTTAAATTTTGTGTTGAATTCAAAATTATTTTAAGGAGATTTTAAGGTCCTGAGTACCTCAGAGCTACGACTCTCAAATTTAGTTTTATAGTGCGCTCAGAGATTTACTGGTGTAGGGCTGATAAATTACCTCCATTTTCAGAAGGACATAAAACTTATTCCAAAGCAGGACAGTGCACCTCACACAGCAGAGAAAGACTTGGATGAGTTGCTGAGGTAGGGTGTGGAAACAGAATGGTGCCGTGGGCATTGTTTGACTGATTGTAGTTCTGTGATTCTGCAGCTCCATGTACATGTCTGTGTTTCAAAGTCTTTGGCAAGACTCCTGTTGGTTTCATGGGCTCTTTGATCAAGCTAATTTTGAATAAAATGTACCAGGAAAAAAAAAACAACCCTAAAAGCAATAAATGGAAAATGGGCATTTTTCCCACAGAAAGTGGGGTATGCGTTATTTCCAAATTTTTTCTCAGAACCACTCTAGGTCTCCAAAGAATTATTTTTTAGTTGAAACTATTTTGAATTAATAAACGAACTCTTTTTAAACAAATATTATATTTCTACTTTATAAGTATTTTCTGGTCTTGCTTCTCTGGTGAGTTATTTCATTATTTTCTTTGTGTTCTTTTTTTTTTTTTTTTTTTTTTTTTTCAAAATACCAGAAAACGGCAAAAGAGAAAACCAAAAAGGAAGGGAAAATAGTAGAAACATGTAATTAAAAATGTGAAAATTAATGTTTGTTTTGCTGTTTGCTTTTTTCTAAATGGCTCCATGAAAATTCATTTTTCACAAAATAAATGTGGGTTGATCCAGTGCATGGGCAAACAAACCTCTTTTCTGTTAACAAAGTTGTCATGTAGCACACCAAGATGAATAAAGGCAAACTCTGTCAGAGTCCAAAATGTCTCCCCGTGAGATTCACCACACACACGAGCACTTGATAGCTTTTAGTTCATGTGGATGGTGATCCCTCCTGTCATGAATATAAAAAGGCATTAAGAAGAGGTATCTCTGCCAGTGTTAGCTCATCCCTGCTGAGCTGTGCTTGCTGGAGAGCTCTCCTGAGGGCTTTGGTTAATGGATGAAGATAGCATGGCCAAGCTACATGATGAATGCTTCCAGCTCTCTTTTTCCTCCTTCTTCCCTCTCCATTCCAGTGCTTGAGTAACTGAGTAGTTACTGAATGGACTGCAGAGTAAGCACTGACATCCATTTTTAAGTGAATTGTCACTGATTTTGGTTTCTCTTGACCAGTCAGAGTTAGTAAGGAGTTTGCCCAGTTGGGCATCAGCAGCAGGGCAGTGCTGCCAGTCCTTCCAGGACATGATCCTTCTCTTTCATCCCAGCTCTTGGCTCTACCTCTTCGGTTAACCCAGGGAAGACAGTGGGTTGCATTTAGGATGCTACCCTGTGATCCTCAGCAGCAGCCTCCCACAAGATTTTGTTCAGCTGAACTGATGGGCTTCTCTCTCATCCTCTAGATTGCAGTTTTGAAGGAAATACTTACAACAGCTCCATGAAATGGCACCTCCCCAGCAATCCCTGTGTTACATACCAGTGCCAGGTAAGGATGTCATAAAAGTTGTGCTAATTGAGTTATAAGCTTTTCCCAGGAAATCCTGAACCTTCATTTATCCAATCCAAATAACCTGAAATATTTTATGCCCAAAGCACAATATGGACTTTGCATTTAAAGTAATTTAAATCCACTTAGATGCAGCCAGCTATAACCAAATATTCAGCAGTATAGGTTTTAAATGACTTGAGTACCCAATACCCAAGCTTTGCTGAAGGAGAGGTACACAGCCATGCCATTTCCTGCTGTCTTCACCTTGAAATGAGTCCTCTTTTCTTCAGCATTCTAAGCCTTTTGTGAGATACAAATTATGTTAGTAATTTGACGCTTCTGTGTGTATGTTTCCATGAGTTTTACCTTTCTTTAAGAAAAACCCACAACAAAATATTTTTTCCTGGGCTCCTGTACTGTTAACACAGTAGTATTTTTGGTAGCTTGGCTATCTGCAGCCATAACATTTTCAAGATTGTTGCTTGTCAGGCTCAAACCAAGTAATTATGTAGGCGATTTTAGCTTATGTCTGTAAATAGGTCTGCCATTTTTGCTGACAATTTGATCTGCTTTTAACAGTAACACTCAGGCAGCTACTAAGAATGGCAAAGAATAGCAAAGAAGAGATTTGTGAGTATGAAGAGCTTCTACTAAGAGGAGATGAGAGTTTCAAGGGTTTTTTTCTCTTTTTCTCTAAAACTTCTGCTCTGTAAAACCAACTAATTTTTTAAAATAAGTACACAGAGATGACTGAAACTGGACCAGTATTCTGTATCCTTGCACCTAATGAAAAGAAACTCACGACATGAATTTAGATATGTTGAGTGTAGTCAGTTCTTTATTGCCTGTTTCAGTGTCTAATGGCAAAACTGGGTGATTCTGTTTACCCCAGATCCACACATTTAAAAAACAATTTTGCCTTGCCTCAAACAGCTATAAGTAGGCAAAAAAAGGTAGCAGCTTTTATGCATAGACCCTTACACCCAGGTTTGTTCAGGACTCTTGACTTCTTGAATAAGTACAGGAAATGTTAATTTACTAATACTTATCAGGCAAAATATCAAAGATAAGCGTCTCCCCTCTACAGAACAAGATGCTTTTATCTGTTTACTAAGTCCATTTTCCTCCAATAGGAGAGGAAGGAGAATGCCTTGTGTCTGGCCTGTTTTCACCAGAGCTGCATGGCAGATTACTGAGGTTAAGGATTCCTGATAAAGCAGGATTCCTTTCCCTAAGAGGATGCTTGGTTTTTTACCTGATGCATTTTAAGGCAAATCCCAGGTCTGGAGTCAGGGAGACTGAAGTGGGTCTTTTGAGTGTGGATTAACCTGAATCCTGATACCAGGCAGCAGGTACAGAAAGAAAAGAAGTTTTGAAAGCCAGTGCTTTGTGGCATGTGCTGGGCTTTAATTCTACTGAATGTAATTGTGAATTTTTGCTTGTTAAAACAACTGTAATGCTAACAATAAATGTTTCTAATCTGCTTCTTTTCCAGGAAGGAGTGATAGTAGAATCAGAAGTACAATGTGTTGTTCATTGCAAAAACCCTTCCAAACTCAGGGGAATGTGTTGTCCTGTGTGTCCAGGTGAGATTTCATGGTTAAGATGCTATTCTACATGTGCAACTGTATTTCTAATGATACTCATCATCACCTGGGAGGCTGCCTCTAACTTACCTCTTATACTCAACAACTTACTAAAATGTGGGCTGGTGACTCACAATGTGACACAAGATTTATTTATTACAATATGACAATATGATGTATTATTTACAATATGACACAAGATTTATTTAATATGTTTTAGTAGAGGACATGCAGACCAGGGAATGCACAGGCAATATCCTGTGCTAATATTCACAGGTGTGTTTATATCATTTTTTAGAAGATCTGTAAGGTGGGTTTGCATGACTGATGACCATGATGTTGTTAGGAAGGGAAGGATAAGAATAACTGTAAAAAAGGAGATTAACTTATGAAGGGGAGTGAGAACAGGTTGCCTTTGTGAAGCACAGTGGCAAATTACCATGTTTTTTTAGGTTAATTTGATTTTATCAGAGATTCTGAAGGTAAGCATTGCTCCAGTTGTGATATAATGGATTTAGTATATTTTGATTAGTTATAATATCTGCTAATATCTAGTGTAAACTCAGGGAGCAAGAATAAATTATTAAAAAGCAAACAGCCTAAAAAACTGTTTTAAAGGTACTTCTAATGGGAGACTTAGCCTTGCCTCCACTTCATTTTTACAAATTTATCTGCTGTAGAAGGATGTTTTCCTTCCCCCTCTTCCCCCACCCCTTCCCCACAAAAGACATTTAGGGTTTCTCAAGGATTTGTTCAGGATTTGTTTTCTTCTGAAGTGGTCCTCTCTCTACAACTACATGAAAGGAGGTTGTAGCACAGTGGGGATTGGTTTCTTCTCCCAGGCAACCAGTCACAGGACACGAGGATGCAGTCTCAAGATGCACCTGGGGAGGGTTAGTCTCCCCTGATTATATCAGGAGGAATTTCAGCATGGAAAGGGGTTTTAACCTTGTAATGGGCTGTCCAGGGTTTTGGAGTCACTATCCCTGAAGGTGCTCAAGAAATGACTGGATGTGGCACTTAGTGCCACATCCAGTGGCATCTACTTACTAGATCACTTACCATCTACTTGACTAGATGGTAATCAGTCAAAGGTTGGACTCGATATTTTGGGAGTCTTTTCCAACTGAAACAATTCCATAATTCTGTGTTGGAGAGGATGGTATGATTTACTTTTCATATTGTTGTACCGTGGGGTGTGTTAGGGAGAAAACTCAGCATTCTATCTTGAGCTAAACTTATTCAAATGCTGTTTTCCAGGTTGTGTATTTGAAGGGAAACTTTACAATGAAGGAGAAGAATTTAGGCCTGAAGGAAATAAATGTACCAAGTGCTCTTGTATTGTAAGTATTTGCCTTTTGGCATTGTATCTCCCTCTATGAACTTCAAAAGGCACATTATTATTGCCATAACAAAGCAAAAAATATAAGGAATCCAACACTACTATGCTTTCTTCTCTTGGAATTCAGGTCTCTGTTGAAGAATTTATGGCATTAATACATTGTATTGCTACAGTTTGAGTTTATAATCTTTTCTGTGGCGTTATGCTGTATGCAGATGGAGCAGGTTATTTGGGAGAGGGCTGATCTGTTGAATTAGTGGTGCCTTTTTTGTGATAGGATCATGCAGGAGGAGACAGAAATCTTTTTGGACTTCATCTGTTGATCAGCATTTATTAGATTCTCCTTAAGCCAAACTTTTCCAAGGATTCCTTTCAACTATATGCAACAAGGGCCTTTGCTCTGAATTACCGAGTGAAAGAATGAGGGTTGCCTCCTGTGGCTGTCCCAGGTGGATTTTTGGCTTGGCGCTTGATGAAAAGGTCATAGCCTGGATTTTATTCTTGACTAGCAACAATATAGAGAGGAAGTAATAATTGTGTCCTTTGAGTAATCAGTGCAGGCTTCTTTTTCACTTCCATTAAGTTAAAAGATAATGCTGTATGAGTTGGGGCAGATAGCTTTGGCATCCTTTCTGTAATCTGTGAGATGAGTAAAACACAAAGTTCAAATCTCTCTTTTTGTTGCAATTTGTGGGCTGATTATCAGCAAAATATGTAAGGCTTTACATTTCAGCAGAGTGCCAAGAAAATAGTCAGTACCAGATACAATTTTCCTGCATCATTAAAATAAAATCAAAAAAGGAGGAGAGAATGATAGACTTCAAAAATTAATGTAACGTTACACATATACATGGATTTAATGGACCTGTTGCAGAGTACTTGAACTGTTCTGTGGAGAAAAAACTCTGGTAATCTGCAAAATTAATTTACACTAAGTCTCCTGCAGAGATCAAGGTGCTAAGGTAATTTTTTAAAAAAGTTTTAATCCCGTAATAATGAAAACACGCCATCACACATGTCACAGTGATATATGCCCTGGGCTCTTGTTCTGCTGAATGCCTTCAGTCCGAGTCTGAGAACTCCCTCTGTACTTGGTGGGTCCCTCTCTCACTTTGGCTTCAGCTGTAAAGCAGTAGCTTTACATTCTGGCTTTCCTTGGTTATGTTCCTCAGGGTGAGGCAGGTCTCAGTGGTTGAGAAGTCTGTGGAGACATGCTTGAGTCTTTTTGGGTTCTGCTTTGCTCTTTCATAAGTACTGTACAGATATTGCCTATTGCCCAGTTATTGGTGTACCAATACCTTCTTGATCAGCTTTCCTTTGTTCTCTGACTATCAAAAGCTTCTGTGTGGAGAAGAGCATTGGAGGGAGGCACCTTTACACTGGAGAGCAGGGTAAAGAAATAAAAAGTATAAAGGGTCACACCTGAAGATCTGACCTTGAGAGTTACCACTCTCAGCTGTGTTAGAGAAGGGACTGCATCAACTATTGAGAGTCAGAAATTTAAAACCACTTAACTATCCCTTCCAAGAAAGACAGCATGAGTGTTTTGGATGTTAATGACATCTGTATAAAATGTCCAGGTCTCAGACTGAATCCTTCTGACAGCTAAAGAGGTATGTGTAAGCCACACAGACCTTCCTTCTGTCTTTCTCAGAGCCTTTTTTACCCTCTTGCCAGTCTCCTCCAGAAGTGGAAACTGTGCTAATTCCTATGTGATTTAAATCTGAAGTACATAAAGGGGGCATCCTCAGGGCTGTGATAGCAGTTTGCTGCCTGCTTTGTATGCATTCCCTTTTGGGAATGGGTCCTCAGTGAATCTCTTATCTAAGCAGTTGGTGGATGGATGTCTTATTTGAAGATACCTATCTAGTCATGCAAAGTGATGGAAACAGGCTGGTGTGGGATGTGCTGTAATTTGTGCAGGCTTAACAGATGGATGGAAGGTCTTCAACCCAAGTTAGATTTCTTCTGGGATTTCAGTCTTTTGTGGAAACTTGGCATAGGAAGTAGCACAAACTGTTGCTAAGGTATTTGGGGGACATTATACTTTATACATGGTATAAGGATTCCAGCTACTCTCACGTCAGGGTGAATTCTGCATTTTCTTGGGAGCAACCTCTTCAAATGATGGAGGATTCTGGACTCTGCAGGCCATCACTGTCCCAGGGCCATCACAGTAGCTCAAACTTGGGACTACAGACACCATTGAATAGGAAGAAAGTAAAGAGGGATGGCTGTGGTTTTCTAGGAGAGATGTAGGGTTGATCTGCTAAGGCTGATCTCACTAAATGTATTAAAATGACGAATTATTTAAATAAAGTATTTTTATTCTTGCAAAATGATGTGCCCAGAATTAAGTACACATCTTCAGATCAGGACTGTGGGAACACATTTTTGGACAGCACTTTGGTAGTTCAGGTTTTTGGTATTATCGGCTCCAAATGGTGCCTACTAGATGGAGCTCCCAAAGAATGTGAAATGACTGTTGTTTGTTTATTTGTTTTTACCACATTGTTTGCATAAATAAGGACATAGCTGGGATCTTGGGAGCTGGGAGTCCCCATCTGGGTGAAGCAGGCTGGCCAGCTGCAGGGCTTCCTATGTGTTCCATGGCCCTGCAGGACAGAGAAAGCAATGGCATGGCTACACTTGGACAATTTGCTTGGTCCTTACCTGCTGAGTGTTCAACTCATTAACGTGGTTCCTGTTTAACACCACTTGTGGTCCTAACTATTGTCTACTGAAAACCAGAGCTAACCCACCAAACTCATTTCATGGAGGTCAGCGAAACCAGCCATTAACTAATAACTTTTGGGTTGTTACCGAGCCAGGCGGTGCTCGCGGCGGCGAGGCGGAGATGAAAGGCCCTGTATTCCATTACCGCTCTCCTAAGTGAGCTGCTCCTTGGGGCGACTAAGATTTCTTGCTGAAAATGAGAATGTATCACCTCTCACTCAATGCATATTGCCTGTCAGGAGTGAACGAGCTGGCTTTTAATGACTCAGTTTCTCTGGGGAGAGGCATTTGTGTAGGAAAGGTGGACGGGATAATAGGGATCTCCTCGCACCCCGGCTGAAACCCAGCTGTCTCGCACTAATTCATCTGTCTGGCCTGTTCCTGCTTTTCGTGATAGGCCAGTGGCCTGTTCTAGAGAAACCCTGGCTGTTTTCCCTACCATAAGCACCTACTTAAATGAAGGACTGGCTTCTTTAATCAAGTGTTATTTCTCAGATACTACTTTTATGAGGTCGAGAGTGTGTTTCTGCTTGCACAGTAAGAGCACTTGGCTTACATGTTTCCTTTCCTACAGCCTGCATTAAAATAGTCAGACTATGATTATCGTAAATGTTTTCATTTTCTCCTTTGATGTAGCACGTTTGGGGAAAAAAAAATAGCGGAGGGGGAAGGAGACAGGGCCAGGGAGGGAGGAGAGGAGTTTTGGCAGGAAAGTGACCTTGCGTGAGAGTGGTAACCATGGAGAAGCTTATCTTTAGGTGGTAGTATCCAAACTCATAAGTAGCCCCTTTTGACTCCTTTGAGGGCTGTTACCCAGACCGTGGGCGCTGCGTGTTCCGGCATGCGAGGCATGCGGCCGTGCGAGGCACCGCCACGCTGGGAGCGCGGCCCTGCCGAGACAGCGCGGCCCCCGCCGGCCTTGCTCCACACCCCTGCGGGGACAAGGCAAGCAGACCTGCTTGGGAAATTGAGGCTGGGTTGTGGCATTGCTGGGAGTGGGAAAAGTTGAGCTGTCCATCTGTCCTGCAGAGAGACGTGTCCTGGGGACCACCATCAGCAGGGTGGTTACGTGTGACTGGTCCCCAGACAGCATCGTTTCACAAAAGCAATGCTGTCCTCTCAGCTGCTCTTCCAAAATGATTTGAAACAAATAAAACCCAAATAGCTGGAAGCAGAGCACAGGGATTGGAGGCTCTTGGAGAGCTGAGTCAAAAAGGAGACTCTGCTCAATCTCCTTTGCATCATCGGGGGCTTTTAAACCAATGCTCAGAGGGGTTCAAGATGAGTCCAGCTACTGGTCTGCAGGTGCACTGTTGGGTGTGTGTGTGCAGGAAATGTCTTGTCACTTATATTCCTTTAGCCTAGGATACAAATACTGAATAATAAACGTTTTGCACAAAGAAAAGGAAATCACAACGGCAAAATCTGTTTCTAAATCAATGAGTAACAGACGTTTCAGCTGTGATAAGTAATGAGAAACTGCATATGTAAGTGTTTGGATGCTGAGGGTGGAATTAATCTTGTCTAGCTGCAGCTATTCAGAAGTAATATGTCTGATCTGAACTACTTATCTGGGCTCCTCTTCAGTTAATTCAGAGAGAGAGAGAGGTGGGATAGATTACTCTCTGCAGATGCTTATCTCCCTCCACTAACTAGAGGGGGAGCCTACCCAGCTCCTGGCCCCAGAGATGGCTGAAGATAGCCAAGACCGATCCTGCCCCTGCAGTCAGCTGGGTGATTAAGCACCCTGATACTGTTTTAAAGGCTTGGCTTTAGCTGGTATTGGGAGCTGCTGCAAAACATTCCCACCACAAAAGACAGTGGGGGAGGTACGCCAGTCTACTGGGAAGCTCAGGGGAACGTGGAATTAAATGTATCCTCAGTGAAGGCTGAGGATAATTCAAATTCAAATTTCCATCCCTAGTGCAGTGCCAAATGCTGATCTTCCCGAATTTCCATGTACTTCAGCTGCTTTGATTCAGCTCCAAACTGCAGCAGACACTGTCTGCCCTACTCTGAGGCTAAGAAACAGAGACAAGGAGTTTTTAGTGAGGGGTGGAAAAGCAAAGAATTGGTCTTTTGGTAGGAGCAGTGTTCACATCTTCAAAGTTAGCGACATTAGTAAAGTGGTTGGTTTTAGGATCGGTGCAAATGGAGACCAGGGAGGGCTCAGAAATGGGATGTGGAGGGTTGGTCACTGTGTTTCCCTGGGAGTACACCCTAATTTTGTCTGCAGACTTTTTGCAAGGCTAGAGAGTTTGGCCT